CCCCCCAGAAAAATACCCACGAGACCCAATGAGTTTCTGGCTCATGACCTTGGCACCGTGGATGAAAAGCTTGTAAAATTACGTCTGTTCTGGAACCTAAAAAGAAGCAACGCCCTGAGCCCACTTCAAACAGGTAAACAAAATAGAATGACCAACTATTCAACTTAATTAAACACCCAGCATGGCTTTCAAAAGGAAAGACGCACATTGGTCAACACTGGTCAATTTAGTGGACGATAGTGTTTGTTTAAAGGACTCCTGAAACAGGAATGCTGGACCATGAAAACATGGCAAACACTAAAAATGGGACGAGTTCTCTCTCCTCTCTCTCACTCTCTCTCTCTCTCTCTCTCTCTCTCTCTCTCTCTCTCTCACTCTCTCTCCCTCTCTCTCTCACTCTCCCCCTCTCTCACTCCCTCTCTCTCTCACTCTCCCCCTCTCTCACTCCCTCTCTTTCTTTCCCTCTCTTCCCCTCTCTCCCTGACGTTCTCTCTCTCTCTCTCTCTCTCTCTCTCTCTCTCTCTCTCTCTTTCGGACAGATGTATTTGTTTTGATAACTACACGGGTTATAAGTCCCTTTACGTCGTGGTAAAAATGTTTAAGAGCCGAAACCTTCGAATGTAATGTCTGTTTTAACACCTTCACTGCCACAGCGACGTTGGGCTCACGCCTCCGCTGTGTGCTTTGGGTGACTGTCTTTCGGACGACTCTTACCGTAGATGTATTTTTAATGTGTCAGAGTCAAATGATGTAGAATTTATTTAGCTTTAACTTTGTATGCTGCATAAGAAGGTAGTGCAAGGCTTTATCCCCTTAATTGCCTGGCCCGAGTTGATCCCTCGGGTTGGACTAAACAAATAAGCAAATTCCTGTGTTATACCCCATATATACATAAACCTACCTGCCCCCACTCATCCGTCTCCTCTCATTCATCTCATCCCGCTCCCACCCCTCCCCCAACTCCTCCACCCTTACCCATTTCCCCAACCCCTTCCACTTCCC